TATATATGTATATATATATATATAAACAATGATACAAAAGTTTCCGGCTGTGGTGGCCGGGTGATAACGTCACCAAATTATCACCCCAGAGGGCGTGTTCGAATCCCTCCTACTGCCTAAATTTCCCGATTCTGTGTTGTTTGGCCGCCCTTTGATTGATCGCATTCCCCTTCCTAAAAATTGTATCAACAAAAGGAAGTAAAACGAAAAGGAAACAAAATAAAGAAATTGACCAACCAAAGGGCTGCTGTACATAAACATGGAGAAAGCTGGAAGGTAATGAGAGGATTCAAACACACGTCCTCCAGGGCGCTAAGTTGGTGACATTAACTGATTGACCACCGTCGTAAGATAGTGTGAAGACTTTGGTCGGTAAGAATGGCATCTTATATGAAAACCTTATGTTCACATGCGACGGGAAACGGGCTTTCCAGCGAGTCTTTTTAGTCACACTTTAAACTTAATCGCTTTCGACACTATGTACTTCGATTTTATTACACCAAAATATCTGTTTTGTCGGTTTTCGAAATCGGCTGTCAACAATGACAACAATAACCTGAGTAGTAAGGTGTCGGGTAAAACTTTTCTAAGCTCAGCGGCGTGATTACGGATTGTCATCCTCTTCTTCGTATCAGTACAACCAATTGCCATTTTTCTTAGGATTTTGCCTTTTCCATTCATAGAAGCAGAAGATTTCCGATTGTATCAATCAAACTGAGAGAAATCGCTGTTTCCCTTTGGAACTTAGTTCACGTCACGAAACGGTGGAGGCGTTCCAGAAAGTCCGCACATTGGGCGAATGCCTGATCGTATCACGCCCGAGCTGAAAACTCTCCAACATGGGGATAGCAGTGATGAATGGATCGATCAAGTTATACAGACNCCCCCCCCCCCGCAAGATAAACCTCGTTCATATTGATTTGCCAACTTTTTTTCTCATTTTTGTAGTTACTTTTACCTGGATGACGGTGAATTTTTTCTCCTTTCCTCGCCCGTATTATACGTGGATCCTGTTCTATAACAATTTTCACTTTCTCCCTTTTTGTGCTCTTGATAATGTGCATTTTTGCAATAATTGATGACTGCAGAAATGAAAAATATTCGTTCTCGCTGTTCACATCCATTAAACTTTTGCCTTGATATGGTGATATTAATAGAACTGTTCCGGTTGAACGTTTTGTTTCTAAGCATTTCTACGCATGTGATAGGCTTATTGATGATGTTAATTGTGACCAAAATTCACCTTCAGTTTGTGCAACCATGTAGTTTCATGCGCCGGTTTTGGTGGCTTTCTTTTGGCTGTTCATTTGGATGAAGTAGGAGCACTGTCTCCACCGAGAAATCTTGAAAGTTGTGTCGGAAGCTCTCCGAATTTCTTTTCTCTACACACGCATGTCCACTTACAGAAAAAGGTTTCATTCTGTACCTTAAACGTCTTTTCGTGCATCGTACAGTAATGATCATTTACATTAAGAAATGAATTTTGCACGGGAAATTTTCATACATGGTAATGTCAAAACAATTTTGTTTTCCTAATTTCCATTTCAATACACTACCACAAAATCGTAAACTGCTGAGAATTCACCCTTTGGGTTTATGAAACGTGTCTTGACTGTATGACATAATGCAATGTGTTGTGATGTGTTGTTGTTTGATGATCACAGTAGCCTGCTGTATATGCCTAGTCATCCCAATCGATCATCGTATCAGTCGTCATTAGTGAACTCCCATACGAATTAAAGTTAATGGAGGCCAAATCTTTGAGGGAAATTTGCAAGATGAGAACAGAGAATTGCGGGAAATCTTTAAACCTTGGTCGAACCAATAAAAATAGCGATGATAGTGGTTTTTACTATTCGTTTTTCCCATAACTTGTTTAGAAAAATGGATTCAGGTGGAAAAGTTTGTCCGAAAAAGTGTATATATGCTATGTGCGATATATACTTGGTAAATCAAATGTTGGGTTTTCATATTTATGGATTAATACAACTTTTATGATTGCACCGTTCCTTGAGCAGGCGAAATGGCGGTTTGTTCTCGTCTATCAGGACTATGATAGAAATAATCCTGATCAAATGATTTAGTAGCTATACTTGGAGATTACTAGATAGAAAGATTTGCCTTCCGGGAGCAATGAAATGACCGTAAAACGATATCACATTTTCAGTGTTTTGAGATACGACTCATTCTTGTAACTAGTGTGTTTGGGGTGCGCATGAAGAGGCGGTAGGTGGATTATTACGGCATCTGAGAGTAGATTCTAAAAGAATAATTATATCTACTGAAGAGACAAAGAGACTGCTGAACTGTTTGATCAGGAGGAATTCATGAAACGACCAACTAACTGTTGCAGATTACTATTTTGTTCTGTGCAATCCATCCATGGCGATCTTCAAATAAATGATTCTCCTCCACCCGGCAACGGTCTTGTGAAATTCTAGCACTAGGGTTACCAAGGACAATCAGTATTCATTTACAAACTACGTTTCTGTACGGTATTTGCAGCTCATGTTAATTCATCAGATTACCTATTTTTACACCACTCCACTTTACGATTCAGACGAGCTTACACCATATCGCGAATCTTAATTGTGGTTGTGAACCGGTGAGCTCCAAACATAGTTCATCGGAAAAAGGGAAGACACTGATCGTGGACGATGACCATGTCAGACCGAATGATTCGATCAACGGACGAAAATCGCCAGTGAATATCGCACAGGATGCGGATACTGATAATCCAATCGAAAATGCTTGGGAAGATCAGGTAAATGGTATAACACATTTTCCTTCTCTTAGTTTTTATTCTCTAATGATTTTAATAAAACAAGTTACAAACACGATTTTGCATGCTCGCAATCGGCTGTCTAGACACATTAAATAGGTTGCAATGTTGAAGATTGAATACCGTATATAGTGTACATTTGCATAAATACGGTGGTTCTAGTTATCATTGTTTTTATTGGTTTGAACCGACTATTCTTCAGAATCCGTTACTCGTAGTCCACAGCTTATTCAAGTAACCATACACTCGGGAAGCAATAAACTCAAGTTTCACCCTACTTAGAGCTCCTCAGCAGTNCCCCGTCAGAGTTTTGAATTCCGGACCGCCACTTTGTCAACCAGCTCACAGCGAGGCTAGCTTGAATTACTTACTCGTGTTTGTTCATATGTCATATTCAATGATAGCCAGTCAGTCGGCCCAAACATGCATGGACGTCCTGACTTACTGGGGGGATTTCTAGGTGGAGTCGGACGTATCGTCTTTCGTTGCTTTCGGACCAACTGAATGACTGACTTCTATTAAAGTCAACAAATATGATTTGGCAATTCAGTTCAGCCCTGGCTTCAGTTGGCTGGCACAGTGGTAACACACGCCTTCTATGCGATGGGTCTGGAGTTCCATTTCCGGACCGGACGGTGGATGTGTACTACTGGTAAGCTCGAGTGTATTGCTTCCTAATTGTATGATTGCTTGGATGAAGAGGATTGTGCGTAGGTTCAAAGCGATATCGTTTAACCAATTTCACTACTCACAAGTAATTGTGATTTCAGCGGGAATTAAGCAATGCTCGTTNNGTTACGTAAGGAAAACGGATCATTTGGTATGCTCTTTTCACCTTAAAAGTGTAAAGTAATGCCGCAAGACTGAGTGTCACTTAGTCCTCTTTTGAAACTAAATGGTCAAGAATTAGTTATGGTGGATTACTTTTCCTACTTAGGTAGTTGCTTGACCAACGATGGTAGCGCAACAAAGGAGATATTTCTTTNTCTTTCATGCATGTCTGAGTTCAGACTATGCGCCAAACAAATCACGGTACAGTCATCTTTATAAAAAAGAGAAAAGATCCATGATTTGCTCATAGGCGTGATACTTCCAGGTTGCCCAGGCCAGGGCAGGTGGATTTTCTTAAGGAATTCACAACCGGAGCCTTCCTCTAGTTGAAGCCTGACCCGCAAGACAGCGGGGTGGTGTGCGAAAACTGCAGTCCATAGGGTGTCGGTGTCCCATTCATCGAATCACATGCCCTTAGCTCATGGTAAACCGTCCAAGGTGCCCAATACACCTCGATGCCCAACCAAGCAGGTGACCACTACCACGACCAGGAAGGTGTGAGTGGATGGTTCGTACACCTTGTTTGATTCGGAATCAGGGTTTTTAGCCAACTCCCCTAGCTGAAGGACCAGCGGTTAACCTACCCGGTTATAGTCCTGGATATTAACTTTCCGTCCTCTAACTTTGGTGGGAAAACAACGCCACCACGAGAAGGCAGTGAGTAGAGCTTTCTCACCAGTTGTTATCTGAGAGAGAGAAAAGCACCATAAAACCTGAGCGCACCAATGTGAATCTGAATTATTTCCTGGCATCTTGTTCCTCACCTCACATTTCAACTAAACCGTGTTCTGTTGCTTCCTGCTCGTTTGTCATTTTCAGATCCAATTCATGGGCCAAAACACTGGTTCCACACAAATTTGGAAAGTGCCTGCACACAATACATCTCCAGCATTGTCTTCTGTGAACAGTTCCACCGGAGCACAATCCCTTCGGTATGAAAACGATACAGATCCGGTACGAAGCAAAGTAAAAATTCATTGCAGCTGGTCTCAGAGTTTTTTTCAGCATCATAATTTAGTGACCGTTGGAAGTATTTTGACCCACAGCTCAGAAACACCTTAGATTCTGTAATGGGAATAGTTGGTCTATCTGCAAGATTGAGTTGCCCCGGGTGTATAAGTTCACATGGATCCGGTGGATCAGTTTTTCATTTAGTCATTGTCATTTGCGATGGGTCTCTGATTCTTGTTTTTAACTAGACGTATAGATATAGGAGTTTGAAGTTTAATCCACTGATACCATGCCGAGTTTCAGTTTCCAACTGGGTGGCTAAGACTTTAGGGCACTGCATACTTCGCGGTTTCCCACACCGACGAATAGGTTTTTCTTTGGGAACCCTAATCGGAGCCCTTGACTCAAAAGTCTGACCCACAAGGCAGTGGGGCGTAACTCCAACGCGGGAGCGTGAACGAAGCACCCGTGTGGAAGCTTCTAGAGACCTGTCACGCACGGCCTTTGTATTTCGATTAGTTGTGTTGTTCGCTGGTGCGTTAATTATCGGTCCGCTGTTCGGGATCAGCCCTTAGCCTCATGCGCTCAATGAGACAAGCGGAACGTGGACGGGACAGCGAATTGGGGCTTCACAATAGCGTGATTGGTTGGTTGTATAACGTGATTCCGCGTCGCTTGCAGTTAGTTCTTCGCACTGAATGCATCGGAACAGTCGGATGCAGCCACATTTCATCACTATCGTTTAACGAAAAGTTTAACTGATTAATGTATAACGACAAGGAGGCAGTGGTTTGATCTTATGCTATATGCATAACTGTTAAACATATCGGTCATTTTCACACACGAATGTGTGTTCAAATTCCGTCTCATTGAAGTCAAGTAACTAATGATATTGAACAGTATTGTCGTCGTGTTAAGTATCCCCTAGCGGTTGCCAGGATTCATATAAACCTTTTAGTCCTAAATTTTCATGGTCCATCCAACAACTGGATATTGTTTTTCTTTTGAGACAACTGAAGCGGTATCATTGCTGTGCATTTACTGGTTGGAAATAAGTTGAGCGGATATTTTTAGCACACTCGTGTAGCATTGCGGGCACCACGAACCACTTTTACGTTAATCGGGGTTCTTGAATTTCTAGTTGCATTTTGCAGGGCATGATTAATAAAAAGAAAATGATGGGACATCATTTTGAGTCATTCACTATTTTTCTAAGTGTGGCTAAAATTGAAATACACCAAGGAACAATCAAAGCATCACCCTATGGAGTAGGTATGCGTTTGTATTCATAGTAATTTTGAACGGTCAATTCAGTTCTTGGATCAATACCTTTTATCTTCCCCTGTTGTTTTATTGTCTGTGCAATGTGATGCCAATAAATTTTACCATTCACAGAACGCTACCGTAAATGTACCGCCGGCCTTCCATCAAATAAAGATTCCGTGGTGTATTGCCGTATCTGATGAGAGTTCAAAGACGGATATGTCGCTTATGGGTCACAAACCAGTCATTCTTGAGGAAGAGTTAGTAAGTGAAAACTGAATGATGCTAACTTGTCAGTCATTTGACCGAGGAATTGAGTTGAGCTTACCCGAATTCACAGATCAGTGAACAGAGTATTTTTTTCTAATTACACTTGTTTGTGTGGTGAACGGCAGACGGGATAAACCCAATAATCACGAGGACCTGGTGTTCAGTCGTGGAAACCGGCAACCTAAGCCCCAGGAATAGGGGTGACGAACCCTATGAGGCTCTATAGGTTAGGAGTAGTATTGAGCCGGAAGACAGTGAAGCTGCCTACCGCCGCATGAAATTTGGTAGTGCTACAACACATGGGACTTCCATGATTTGTGAGAACATGTTATTTCATCGTATCCCAAACCGAAGAAGAAGGCCAGCGTTCGATTTCCTCCTGAAGTCGTCTACTTGAAAGTCATACTTACATGTTAGTAGAACCGAGCTCCTATTCCGTAATCAATCTACAGTCAGAAAATTATAAGTGTGGTTAGGAATCAGGTTTTTTGCTGTCTCCCCAAAGTGACCTGTCGGTGATTCGCCGATCCGGTTATAATCCCGTATGTAAGCTTTTCTTCCTCTCACTTAGGTGTCTTAACACCTTTGCCAGATGAAGTCAGTGGGTCGGGCTTTCTTAACAGAGGCTGAGATGCTGGTATAAACTCCGCCTCAACGGTATTGCACCCCTATGAACACCCAATTCGGTTTTGAAACGGGTGTGATAGACATCCGGGAAATGTACTGCTGCACGGCAACCGTATTGAGTCAGTGGTTGACAATCTGGTGTGAGCTACAGTCATGTGACACCTCGATGACAGTGGCCATATGCTCACGTCACTCTCAGTGAGCTTGAAAGAACAACAACATCCAAGTAGGTTAGCACAAAATATTACCAACCATGGTGCAATGGAATAGGCTTACTAATGACGAGAAATCCAGAAATGATGTCTTTCGTGAGATCTGTGTCAGCACACATAAGATAGCCAAGCGGTGTAATAGGTTCCAATCACACAGTGACACGTTATTTGAGGCGGAAACAGCCAAAGGTCAGTAATGCGTAGACTTTACACCAGAAAAAGCTCTCGGGGAAAAGTAGGAGCAGATGACCATGTATTATCCCAGACTCCATGAATCATGCATGTGAGATGAAAACGGTGCCTGAATTGAACTTCTCAATGCGAACTATACGATAAAATTTAAAAAAATGAAAAGACAGCTCTGGCAACTTTACAAACATAAATACTTTTTTAGATTAGCAAGCCTGGATTAGCCCATCCGATTGTTCAGCGGCATCGGACGCTCTTGATGACACAAAATGTGTGCACTGCTGGTGAGTCCCAAACAGGACGAAACAATTGCCCAGTGCTTTTTGTCAGTCATCACAAACATTTCCATCGCATTAGAAAGCCGTTTTGCTATCTGAGTTTCATGTCTCTTGGAAAACCGAATTGAATTTCGTCTCCTGTAGCAACGAAAAGAGATTTAGTTAAGATGAACCCAACGCGTGGAACTACTACTTTTATGATCTGTGGACCATGATGTCAATTAACGTAGTCTTTTCCGTGAATGATGTGCTGCTAGCTCGGGCAGAGCCAAGCTATCTGTTAGGCAACAAGTTTGTGATGGTGCCTTACTTGGAGCGAACCCACCACGCCGTCAAAGTATCATCACTAATCATTCGTGATCTCTTATTTAGTGGAGCTAGATGCACCTACTCTCAATGAACCGATTAAGTGACTATTCTTGTCTGCACAACTGTACCGACCGTAAACGTATTTTTATCTCCGTGGGTCTGGATCTAATTAATGCATTTTTATCTAGAAGAACATGAAAGTTTGGTGAAAACTTTCATTGAAATGCCTCGTTTGTCCGGCTGCGTTTTGGATTTTTCAGCTTTTCTCATTCTAAGGGCATTTACTTGACCACCAATGTGTGGACTTACATCGGTCGTAAATTTTCCCGTTTTCATATCGCGGACAATATGGACATTCCACGGGTCTCACCGATTTCCAGTCGTGCTAGGATTTCAATGTGATACCTTTCCCACCGAACGAAATAAAATGCGCTACCGTAAGCGATACTCCATGATTCCACAAAACGCAGCAGTTACATGAAATAAAGTGAATATTTCGAATATTCTTTGCTTGCGTTAAGTCGATTAGGGATGTCGAGGGGCGGGTGGTATGTCAACTAAGCTCTTGTAGCACTAAGTCTTAATAAAGCCCTCGGTCAATTTCGTGGCAAATTCCAGTTCGGTAACGATGTGCATTTTATTTTCTTTGAATGTAGGATATGACTGACTTTGCTCAGGATGTACATCAAGCTGAATGGCAATTCATTCGTCACCATATGGAGTGTACACGATTGCTGGGTGAGCTAACGAAGATGATCGAACAGATTACAGAACGTGATGAAATAACCCAGTCAGAATTGGGTTCCCTGCGACAAGTGAGTGCATAGAGGTGTTCAAAGTATTCACCTCTATTTAAAACAATTATTAATTCAGTTTGCTTTCTTTTTTCCACTCAACTGAGCCTAGAATTGATCTAGATCAAAGTACTACACATAGTGGTCTTGAATTATTGTTGCTCATGTAGGCAACGAACTACTAAATCAGCTTGAAAATCCCACTGGGATAAAACATGCATCTTGATTCATATCCATGAACTATTGTTCATCATTTTGTCCTTTGTGCTATTCATTCCACGATTTTGCATATTAGGGGCATTTGATCGGGCTTCTGTCCTCCGAGAACGCTTTATTGTGTGCCCTCAGCGGAATTATATATATATATATATATATATATATATATATATATATATCCGCGTTTCAGGAGTGAAACAGACAAAATCAGTCCCTACAAAAGCCATACTATGTAGCCTAAACTTCTGCACGGAAACTTTCTACGGTACTATTTATATTTATACTGATTTAAATGTATGCCGAATTCTAAGATCTTTCACATAAACGTGACCGTTTCTGGTAACTGAAAAAGGTCAACGTAAAACTCATCAACTAGAGGCTGTTTAGAACTCATTTACAGACCTCCCTCCGACCCCTTAACTAGTTCTCAGTTCCAGAGTATACAACTATTCACCACGCACCTTTCTCAAGGCAGGTTTTACAATCAAAATTATAAAACCTACCTTGAGAGAGGTTACCCACGCTAACCGAAACGTCGGCGAATATAATGCTCTACTGACATCGCTGTGTTATTGACATAACATTCACAATCATTTAGTTTCATTCACAGTTTTCATCTTCATACGACGGTGAGATTCTTTTGTGATATACCATGGTAAGAATTTCCAAAATATTGCCCGCGACCTTCACTTTTATCCTATTTGCAGTTCGACCACGGTTCATATTTTCGACATAAGATTCTAAACTAGTTATCAACTCAAAGTATAGAAAGTATCAAACGGACTAAAGCTGTCATTTTGAAAAACACTATCAAGTTTTTCTCGTTTGGGACCATTTTGACCTAATGGTATCGCTAAACACATCAGTGAGTTTCGAAATGATTGTGCACGCGATTGTTCTTTATCCTCTTTTGTTTGCTTTCTTCTTCAACGTTCGTCGTCCGAAACCTAGATACTGGAATCTAGTCAGTTGGCCTTTACGAAGGCATTTGCCCAACTGGATCATTTCAGGGATTTGCTTAGCAATCATGCCAATCTTCTAGCTATCAAGTCTGATGCAGAACGGTCACGTGTACAAGTGAGTTCATGCTGAGTGGCAGATGTGCTATGTCCAAACCTCAAAGTCAGAGTTTTATTATGGGAATAACTTACAAGCTCGTGCTTCTCTTTTCCGCCTAGGATATTTACGCAGATGAATCGTTACACGCCGAAAAAGAAGTCACATAGAGTTCCGGGTAAGGGATAATACAGAATGTAGGCTTCAGTGAATTTCCGTTTGCTTTTTGTGGTGTGCGAATGTGAGGTGTGCCAAGGTTTCATCGAGTCTCAGCGTGAAAGGTTCAATAGTGGGTGCACAAACGACGTTGGAAGGGCGTTCTAATAACTGCATACTCTGTTTGCAAAAGACTAGCGCCGGCATTCCAGTCGACACTTTGGAATTAGTAGCTTGAAGCGGTGTCCTCTTGGGTTTACATTGTTCGATAACATGAGCAGCGATCGACACGGATGTTTTGGGTTCTGCAGTAGTTGATACGTCAAAATCAAGTCTCCCCGAGTTCGGCGATACTGAGCAGAATATAGTTCGGGGCAGTGTTTAATCCAGTTGTTACGCTAGTCGCGCACTCCTGAAATCAAACGGAGTCTTAGACCATCAGTAAACGATATGACCGAACTGGCCCACATCTATTGCTTATTGTTGAGGGGTTATTAAAAATTACGATGAGGTGTGGACTATGAACTTTTTCTCAGGAGTGCTGTCTTCGGTCTTTGGAGGAAATGACCTAACCAATGAAGACTTTGTCGGAGGAAAAAGTTTAGTCTCTCTATAACATCACAATTTTAAAGGTCAGTGGAGTTTGAAAGGCGGTTATAGCCCTTCATACATCGGAGGCCGAAGCTTTTCAAATTCCGTTGTTTCCATCCACTCTTGGTGGCTGTTGGCTGTCAGAATCCTTGCCTAAGATTACAGTATCATTGACGTATTTGAGATCAGCTATTCAAGTTTTGTGGATGACTTGAATTCCTCGAGAATCGGTAAAACCACAATGCAGTGTCCAGCGTTAACGGATGCCGGAAACATGCGGAACTTTCCTCTACTGATGTTGCGAAGCGTAATGAAGTATCGGCCTCTTGTGATTCTTGAGCATCCCGTTGATACATACTATGCTCCAGAAAGACTGTATGTTGATAATGTAGTCTTCAACGAATTTGC